GGAGACCATCTCCAATTCTATCACTTGGCGGATCAAAGTTCTATATTACATTTATCGATGATTTCAGCAGCAAGGTGTGAATTTATTTTCTAAAACACAAGAGAGGTAGAAAGCTGAAGTTGAAAATCAGACCTCAGACAATGAAGGAGAGTACGACAAGTCAAAATTCAAAGCATTTTGTGCAGATGAGTGAATTTGATTAATAAGGACGGTTATTGGTGAAGCAAGATAAAATGGTGTCGATGAAAGAATGAGCGGTCAAAGAGTACTAGGTTTTTTTTTTTTTTTTTCTATATTTGTACTGTATTGGAATTAAATATTTAGTTAAATTACTTTAATAATAAAAAGCAAAAACAGAAAATCCTTAATTCTTGAATTGACAAGACTTGGGGACTCGGGTAGGCAAGGAAAGGCCCAAAGGCAGGCTTCAAGCCCAAACTCAAACACAGGCCCACTGGAAGCAACTCTAAGGTCGGTGCTAAATCGGCGCAAATTAGCAGTCGCCACTACCAACAGAAGCCTTGCAATAATTTCAATAATTTCAATATAAATATATATTAAAAAAAGAAAGAATAAGAAAAGAAAAGGAAGAAACATATATCGAGTTCTAAGTCTCCACCATCTCCTCCAGTTCTAGGGCTTCCATTGCTCTCCAACTCTACTCTCAACCTTCTTCTACTTCTTTTACTCTGCCGTTCGAACACTTCACAATATCCCTCCCTTTCCATTTCTTCGTTTCCTTACCTTCTTCTTGGAGCTTTCAAATCTAAGGTTCCAGGCATTGTTTCGCCACTGCATTCGGATTACCAATGGTGAAGTCTTCCAAGTCCGTCCACGAACGCTTCCAAGACGACGGGAACGGTATTTCTCTCTCTCTCTCTCTCTCTATTTAGTTTCTGGGTTTTTAATTGAATCCTCAGTTTTTTTATTCTTAAGAAATGAAATGGTTCATGAGTTTCATTTTTTTTCTTTTACAGAGTTGGGAGTGAAAATAGAGGGGAAGAGTGGGGAAAGCAAGGCGAGTGGTCATCGGTCTAAACACTCCGAGACCGAGCAGCGAAGGAGAAGTAAAATTAATGAAAGGTATGTTGCTGCTGCTTACTGCTTATACTTCAATTTGTACTAGAAAGTTGTAATGCTATTCTAATTTTATCCTTTTTTAAGAAAAAAAAAAAAATATATATATATATATATTTTGGCCTTTTGTTTTTCGGCTTTTTGAGCTGATACAAATGGCTTTTTGGATACTTAAGCATGTCTGAGGGATACGTGTATTTCTGTTGCCTCGTTTGAGTTATGTTATGTGAAAATAAAGTGAAGCAGATTTGTATGGTTTCTCAGTTAAATATATGGGATCATGGGTATTCAGATGTTAGAGCAACTCGTATATGTTTTTGTTGCGTTTGGATATTAATTGGAATTCGCTTCAAAGTTTACTTTGTTCAGGATTGTTGTATGAACAGTAGCACATTGACTTGCCACACTCTGTTTCCAATGAGTATTATTTTATGAAATCATTTTCTTAGATACCTAGATGCTGCCGCATTTCGCTCCATGAAACGATATGTAAAAAAATTTACTCGACCTTGTGGAATATTTTCTTTTGAAGTGTTAATGGATTAGTTTTCAGGATATTTTCTCTTTAATTTTTTATATGCCCTTTTGTTCTGGGTTTCTTTTAGGATCTTCGTGACAATCTCATGTTTTTGTGAAATATTGTGTTCTGATGGGGGCAGATTTCAGATTTTGAGAGACCTCATACCTCAGAATGATCAAAAAAGAGACAAGGCTTCATTCTTGTTAGAGGTATGTCTCGCATATTACCTATTCTAGTTTTGAGATTCCTTGTTAGTTGGATAAATTAATCTTTGACATATTTGTACTTCAGGTAATTGAGTACATTCAATTTCTACAAGAGAAGTTAAATATGTACGAAGGGTCATGCCAAGGTTGGAGTTCAGAGCCTTCAAAATTGGTTCCATGGGTATAATCTTCTTCTTGATTGACTTTTGTTTTCACCTTGTCATTCACCAGTTTGGTGACTTTCTTGCTTCTTTTTTCTGGAAATTGAGTTAGGAAGGTCCTTAATTATGCTTTTCATGTTAGAAATCGTTTTAGAATATTGTTCTTTCTTTTGAGATTATGAGAGTCGTGGATGGATAAGTAACTACCCCTTATTAATGAATGAAACTGCGAACAAACACTTAAAAGCTACCCTGGCATGTTTGTCCTCCAAACTCTGAAATATCTTGTAATTTGTCTAATCGACGTCTGACAGAAGAACTATAGAGCTGCTGAAAGTTATGTTGATCATTCCCAAGTGGTAAAGCGGGGTCCCAATCATGAGAGCGCTGTCGTTTTTTCCCAAGCAATGCTAACAAATGCACCGAATGTGATGGATGCTGACATGGGTCCTGCTGCAGTATTAAATGCGGTGGACCATACCCTTGTCTCTGCTACTCAAGGACTCCCCATGAGCATGCATGCACAACCAATTGTATTTGAACCTGTTGGAAGAGGTAGTTTATCAACCGAGTCTTTGGACGAGCCTGCATCAGGATCAGAGAACATCTCTTCCAAGACCCAGACCGAATTATTGCAGGGTCGAACCCATGCCACTACTGGTTTTCTGAACCATGCTGTTAGTGATCAGGAGGATCTCTCTGTCGAAAGTGAAATGGAGGGTATCTCAGGTGTCTATTCCCATGGGTGAGCATCTGCCATGAGTTTTATATGAATTGTGTCTGACCTTCTTGATATAAAATTCGGAAGATGCTGCTTCTTTCCCTTTGTTAGCTAAATTCAAATATCCTCGGCATAATCTTGAAAATGTGTAGTTGCCTTGCCTGCATGAGGCAGTTCCTTGGTATCATCTCGCCCTTGGGATGGTAGATAATTGATTCGAGAAAGCGAGAAGAGGCTTTTTATGTAATTACCAGCTCTATTTTTTCCTGTAAATGTTCTTATAAGGCTAGAACTGTTCTGAATGTAATTTAATCCATGTTCTGGTTTTAGCCCTTCAGTTTTCTTTTGTATTATGATTGACATGGTTTCTGTATTGAGCAGGTTACTAAGTACCCTGACCCAGGCCCTGCAGGCTTCAGGCGTTGATTTGTCACAGACCAACATCTCAGTGAAAGTTGATGTCGGAAGACGAGCAAATAGATCGTTGTCCCTTTCAGAGGTTAAAAATCTTCACCTTGGCCTTTTGAAGTCTTTTCTTCTGCTAGCTAGTTGAATTGATGTGATGTTGTTTCTTCTGTGATGTGATCCATTATTTCACCAGGATGACAAAAAACAATCTTTGAACAATCAAGTGACGGCACAGAGTTTACATGGCTACTTCAGTGAGGACTCAGAACAAGCTCACAAGAAGCTTAGAACAGGGGTGTAGTGTGTTACTCTGAGATGCTTCTTTATCTTACCCCTGTGCCTTCTTTGTTCTCTTCCATCTTTGAGTGTGATATTATTATTATTATTATTATTTCCTTAAATGGGTGGGTGGGGGTGGTGTTTTGGGGGATAATCTTGGCCATTTTTTTTTACAGGTCATGGTCTGTTAGCAGCAACTGGGATTTCTTTGATTGTAGATGTGTTTCTCCTTGGTCCCAGTTGCTGCAAGGATATAAGGTTATGCGTTTTTTTTTTTTTTTTGAAGTTTAAGATATTATAGAAAAGCTTGCATTTTGTAATGTATTTGTAGCCTGTAATTCTCCAGATTAATGAGATCCCCTGAGAATATTTTTAGTTGCATGGTTTATGAGGTTAAAATATTTGTATCTCTATGATGCTTTTATTTCAGATTGGATATCTAACAGTTGTTATATGGCAACAACGAGAGGAAGTCGTCCACAGAAGCATTGTCTTCCATAGCTTCATTCTGGACCTCGAAACAGTAATCGACAACCTTGTCTTCATCAGAAAATGTAAACCCCATTTCCCAATCATGAACGTAATTACTCTTCTGATCAGGCTCCTTCATTTTTTAACAACCTTTCTTCCCAGCCCCTCACTGATTGGTCTCCAAAGGGGTGGAACCCAGAAGTTAATAAACACAATCGATTGCATCTTTTTTCTGTAGAACCTCCTGTTGATTTGAGTTGTATTATTAGTTTAATTTTGATTGTTGCAAAAGAAAGAAAAAGAAGTAAATGGGGTTTTGCAGTTTGGAATAAATGCAAAGGACCCCTGATTTATGTGCTAGGAACAGGCTTATGGTACCATTTTTTAAGATTACTTGGAACCATTTGTAATGACCTAAAAATAACACTTTGATTCCGTGTAAGGAACTAGACAATAACATTGAAGACCACTTCATTCAAACCCTAATTTATGGTAGATCAAGAAAAAAAAATCCTAATTCTTCATCTCTTTGTTCTTGTTTTAAAAAAAAAAAAAAAAAAAAAAAAAAAA